ATGCGGACGCCCTCTCACGATCACCAGTGAAATCCAGCGCAGACCTGCATTCGGACGCCAATTTCTCCATCACTCTCATTTCCGTCTCAAGCATGTCGTCTGAACAGCGGAAAGACCCATGGATAACATCTCTCCTTAACATTCTTTTCGACTCTTCGACGTCTGCGTACCCACGCGCTCTTCGCCGCCAAGCCACACATTTCGTGATACGGGACGCGCAACTATACCGCAGAAACTACCACGCGGATGGTCGTAAATGGCTCTTGGTTATACCGCGCCACATGCGATCTGATGTCTGTGCGTATTTTCATGCCGACCCACAACATGCTCACGCTGGTGTGTTAAAAACATATCAGCGGATCCACCAGCGTTACTACTGGCATGGTATGTACACTTTTGTACAAAAATACATTCGGTCCTGTTCATTATGCCAACGACGAATGACAGCGGCCCATTCACCCGGATTATTATAGCCTCTACCGTGTCCGGCGCGCCCTTTCGACCGCGTTGGAATCCTTACACTGCCGCTGGAAATCGATGGATCATTGTCGCCGTTGACCATCTGACGAGGTATGCTGAAACAGCTCCACTACCTACGGCTGGTTCACGTGACGTAGCCAATTTCATTTTGCGAAGCTTTGTACTGCGTCATGGGGCACCACGTGAACTACTGAGTGATCGAGGGCGGGTCTTTTTATCCGAAGTTGGACAACAACTCCTTCAGGCATGCCGCACGGTGCACCGCACCTCTACAGCCTACCACCGACAGACCAATGAGCGCTGAGCGCTTCAACCGAACGCTTCACTGAGCCCTTCAACCGAACGCTAGGAGACATGCTCGCCATGTATGTCAATTCCGACCAATTGAACTGGGATGTAATTTTCCCATTTGTGACCTATGCGTACAACACCGCGACGCAGTCAACCACAGGCTTCTCACCTTTCTTCTATATGGGCGTGAGGCATGCTCCACCCTTGACACCATTCTGCCGTATCGTCCCGACGTTTCTGAGTTCAACCCTCTTTATGAAATTCTTCATCACGCTGAAGAGTGTCATCAGTTGGCCTGATCATTCACCTCGGACACGCAAGCACTCGAAAAAGACCGCCAAGACCGCGACCAGCAAGTCAAGACTTTTGCCGTGGGCTCGCTCGTCTGGCTCTGACTGCCCTTCCACTCCCCAGGTCTGTCCTCTAAAATTGCCCCCAAGTTTCACGGTCCTTATCGCGTCGTCTAACGTCGGTCTCCTGTCACATACGTGATCGAGCCGGTCACGCCATCTACAGAGAGGCGACGCCTTGGTCGTGAGACTGTCCACGTGAGTCGTCTCAAGCCCTATCACGATCCATTCCTGCTCTCGTCACCTTGACTGGCCAGGATGGCTCGTCTTCGTCGCCGGGGTATTGTAGAGAGGAAGAAGATTATGTGCCGCAGTGCGTTACGCCTTTAGCGACAGGAGCTGAGTGCGAGCTGTTCCCCCGAGCGCTGTGATTCCTGCGTCAGTTGCTGACGCCCGCTTTCCGCATCAATAGACCTGCTGTGCAAGTACTACTTACACCAATGAACCCCGTTTCAAGTGTAACAATGTTTGCCAGCATTGCCTCAGTGGTCAGGGATATTTGAAGTGTGAGGGTGAGGAGCATTGCTCAGATCATTAACGGGTCGTTTTAAAAGAATAGCACTAAAATGTATAAACAGACTTGGATAAATAGATCGGCTTTCTACTAGAAAAAAAGGAGGACAGAAGATCTCTGATGAGCTGGTGAGGGTACATATATATCCTAAAGAGCAACAATCAATTTATTTTAATTTACAAATTGCACTCTGAAAACTCGAATGGCCCATGTTTCGCTATCATACGTTCTTATAGAAGATAAAATCAGGGTTAAACTGTTACATTTAAATTTCGCGCCGAAATGTCCGTGTGTAACGTCGAAACTTCAGTCTACTTTTTGTATTCCCGCGACATGGGTCCGATGAAATTTTCTGGAACTCCGTATGCTATGTCAGTGACGCCCACAGATGACGATGTACTTTATTTTGATATATTGGAAGCAACGCAGGACCCACTAGACGTCTTCAAAATTCATGACGTCACGGTGCTTGGTGCGAGAATCTCAATGCGGCGTCTCCATGCGTATTTTCTTCTTTTTTTTTCGCGCGTTTTCTCGCTTGCCACGTGTAGCGTCGCGGTAAGGGGAAGATCGTAAAGTTGTACTTTATTAGTACACTTGAAGTAGTTTTGATCTTTAGTGACTGTTTTGAAATATTTGCGTGCGCAGCCGCCCCCCCTCCCCGTTTTTTGAAATTTCAGGGCTGTGCTTCCTCAACTCTAAACCGGTGATGTAACGCCTATTAGCGGCCTTGTGGAGTGCCGAGTTGAGGCTTGGTAGAGAAGCAAAGGGAGGTGCACCGTGTTGAAAAACGAGGCACACAGCGTAAGGAAGCTATGAACAACCCAGACGAGAGGTTCAAGTGCTTTTCTTGTTAATTCCGTCCCCAAGACTCTAAAAGTGCACGAGGTCTCGCAGAGTCCCGTAAAAGGACTCGCGGAATATTGTCCTAGCGATGACGTCGAAGATAGCCAAGATTTTTGGCGTCATGCGCGTAAAGTCACATGGGGACGTTATCACATGATTTATAGCTGCGAGGTCAAAGGCGGACCGATCACGGAGGCTGTGCAAAAAAAAGTACGTGAGTGGCAGAAAGCTTGCGATGTAAACGCATCCCGAGGCAGCACAAAATCACGTTAGGTGCAGAATGCCATTGGAGGAAGGCAGGAAGGACTTGAGTGCGAAGAGGAAGAAGACGGCGTTAGCCTTCGAGTCGTCTTAGGCGAATGCATGGGAGAACATGTAAATTGATGGAAACTAATGTATTGAATGCTGTGGTTTAACGTCTGGCAACCACGATGTGATTATGAGAGACGCCGGAGTGGAGGTATCCGGAAAGTTTTGACAACCTGTGGTTCTTTAACGCAAGGGGTGTCGGACAGGGGGGGGGGGTGCAAAAGGGGCAAGTGCACCGCCTAAGTTACACCAGTGCTCTTTCCCTACCCCGGCCGCGATGCAACTTGGCTTTGCAGCCCCCTTTCCTCCCCCAAGGCACATGTCGCCAAACGGTCGTGCGCGTGCACCGCAATCAAAGTACACGGGACTCAGGCATTTCGGCCTCCATCGAGAATGCGGCCACCACAGCCCACTTGCATTTTGTGTGATCAATAGCAAAAGAAAAAGCTGTCACAAAGCCTAGGTCTTACTGCAGTGTCTCTTGCACAAGATTCTGCCGCTATACAGTGCGTTCTCGCTCATCCAGTTGCGATTCGTCTTGCAGCCTCTGCGTTTGTCGATGACGAAGATGGCATGCTCGACTGGTATCTTTCTATTTGTAACGGGGGGCCGTGCAATGGCGGCCGTGCAAGAAACAAAAAGTATACACAGGCACCATTTCGTCGTACGTTTGACGAATGACAGCTTCTGTATTCGCCATTCTGGACAGTGTTGTCTCTTCGTTTTCATTTTTTTTCTTGTCTGTCTCCTCTTTACATTATTATATGACGAAGAGACATGGTGGCTTCACCCTCAAAGTAGTCTTAAAGGAACCGGCAACTGGCCAGAACGCGTGGTAAGATGCTGACACAAATGGAGACACCGCAATTAATAGAGACAGATTGAAGCTCCTTTTTTCGCGATCTGACTACATGCCTATTTTTAGGTCATGTGTAATACCAGCGAAAAACTGGCATGTCACTCGGGGGCAGAGACTTGACTTTGGATTATGGAGTCGTTTACTTAGCTGTACGTACAGTCTCTTTTTCATGCGCACTATAGTTAGTGCTCAGAATTACTGTATGTATTTCACTTCTACGTAATTACTTGTAAGAACATCGGTTTAATGAATATTTATTAATAACGAACTTTTATAACATCCCCGGCGGTTTTCCAATGCATTAAGGGCAAAACCCTCAGTTGAAGGAACTTCTGAACAGTCAATATTTCAGTCGAACGAACTTGATCTGCTGATTCACGCTTATGTCTGAGATCAATTGAACTTCTGTGTTCTGCAGCACTGGTGGATACACGATAAGTGACGCCCCCCCCCCCCCCCAATCTCCCATCCATCTGTGGCGGGGCAAAATTGCTTGGGCATGCAGTGCCACCGAGGCAAAGCAGGCGCGCGGGAGACGAAAATGACTTCAGTACCTGCGCACAGCTATCAGATTCGGAAATCGTTTGCAGTACTAGTTCGAACGGCAAAAATGAGTGTGATGAAGAGGTTGTAATGACTACCGAAGTTTCGGTATATTTAACCGAGGCTGCAGGATACATTAGAAAGTTACGATCGAGACTTTGTGTCACAGCAACGAAGGTGTGCCAGAAGCAGTGCACGGAAACGTAGATTCTCTGGATAGTTTGGTCTCCTCTCGCGCTTTACGGGCGCCAGTCTAAACAAAAATCACAGAATTCTTTTTAAAATAATTTACCTTTCTCGCGTTTCACATTATTCGTGCTGTACCGAATGCTGTAGCGTATTTTGATGAATATTCAGTTTAGGGATCTTTCAGTCAAGTGAAGTATTCCCTTGGGTCCAATTAAATTCACTAATTTGAATTATTCCCCGTGACCGCTCTATTATGTGCTGCTTAGGCGGTACAGGGAGTTACACACTGGAAAGCGGCCCTGCTTTTGCGGACTGCTGGGACATATAGGGCCGCAGCAACCACCGCGCTCAAATACCAACTGCTCTCTCGCTCACCTTCCACAGTTTTGTGTGTGTGTCTGAGACTAAACAGTTGCAGCACAACGAAAAATATTTATTGCAAGTGTTTCTCGGCGTTTCCCGATTTGCCATAACGTAATTACACACTGCGACCGGTAACCTTTTTAAATAGGTCAGGCAGAAATCGCTTTTCGGTGTATTTAAGGAATAGGTAGGTGTATATATATAGCAATATAAACACCGATGAAAATAAGTTAAAAACCATTCATCAGGCTCTCACCCTGTGACGCAGTGTGCAGCTGTGAGGACGTAGCGGCTGTTGATGATGGAACCTCCGCAGGCGTGTCCCCGATCCTGGTTGACCACTGGTATCACGCGGCGTAACGATATCTGCCAGGGAAACTCGAGCCGCCCGGCTTGTTCGCCACCAACGATCCTCTGGTGCTGAGAGTAGTAACTGGGCCCACGGACACCACACCCTGTAATGGTAATGAAAAAAAAAATGTTAGTATATCCACGCGGTGAATGATGGAGAGTGAGGCGAAGCATCCGTCCTTCCATGCGTCCATCTGTGTGACCGTCCGTCCATGCGTCCGTCTGTGTGACCGTCCATGCGTCCATCCGCCCGTGCAGCCATCCATGCGTCCGTCCATGCATCTGTCTGTGTGTCCGTTCGTCCATCTATTCAACACTCCAAGTACCACCATCTCGCATCTTTTCATCATGTATTCCGCATATAGAAGCACCGCCATCCAGCGGACATTCCAAGGACTAAACGAGAGGTGGAACACGCACACTCTTTCACGGCTGGCGCTTCGTGTTTATTTCCCACCTTTAACCACCTCGAGCTCATGATATATACTAGTTCACTGTATTCATGGCACTGCGGCCAAACGCTCGCTAAACCTTCATAAAACCAAGGAGGTCACGCCCAGCGAGTATAACGTAGCAACCCTTTCTTGTCAGATAGTGCTCAATGTACATGCCAATGGCTGCTAATAGAGAATGGGAGACAGGAGAATTCGGCTTTTAGTTAACGCACACGCTGCGAATTTTTATTGTTCAACAACGCACAGGAGAAATCTTCCACCAGCACCACCTCGCAGGTCAAAGCGTAAGACACGTTACGTACTACGACGAGGGACGAACGGGCACCGCTTTAAGGAGCTTCACGCCTAAAATTCTTGGAAGCCATTGGTGGTATACTAACCACATCATATTTGTTTCATGCGCATCAGAGGATGTATATTACAAACGCAAATATATTCAAAGGGAAACCTTATCCATTTGTCAAAAAAAGAATATTCTTAGTCGAATAAGAATTTGTCGGGCTTTACGGCATGAAAGCGCACCGTTGCACACAACTCAGCCTATAACCATCCAATTAGAAACACAGAAGAAAGCATCGATCCTCCTTAGTCTTCAATAGCTTAATATTGTCGATTTGATCTGCTTTTATCGGTGAAATAGAGAAGTCATTATTACACTTATGAGTTAAATTTTAGCGTATCTTTTTGGCTTATTTAGTACATCGTCATCAAAAGCAAGCTCTTATATAACCAAGATGCCGTCCTAATATAGACACAACCAAGTGCGATTTTGAACAGTGTATACTTAAACAGACTATCTGAAAGGTATTAGCTTTTGCGACAAACAAATAAGCCATTGAGAAAATTGATCTATATATAGTAGACATCAGTAACATTTGCACAGAACATCTCAACAAAACCGAACTTGAAACAAGACTAAATGTAACGCGAAGCTTAAATCACAACGTCCTTGAGGGAAGATGAATGAGCTCACTTTGTTCGCCGCACGCATTGCTCTCAGTAACAGCCACAAACAGAAGTGTTATTACAGCGAACATGTTTCCAGTTGATTCCCGGGTGTAGTCTGGAAAGCTTGTTCTCCGTTTTTTCGGCTTGAGTTACACAGACAGGCGGCCGTTCAACGACTCTCCACCAAGCGAGAAAGAGTTCTTTCCTCATCGTTGCTCCTTGCGGTTTTATTGTTTTCCGCCGGAGGGAGATTTATGACTACCGCGACCGGAGTGTTTAGCGTCTGTGGGTCCAGTTGATGCGGGCGACTAGGTCAGCGAACCCGGCTCACAGCGTACTTTCTTGTCATCGCGACAAGTAAAGCAGGTGTAATACCCCTGTTACACGGCAAATGTAATGCCATTTACAACGAATGGCATTAAGGGGGTATGGTAGGGTAAACCGCCTGAAAAATTGAATTTGCAATTTTAATACAAAAACATCGGCCCGAATCTACATGATACACTGTAAACATCGTCGAAAGACGATAGTCTTGCGTTTGGAGAGAGTGAACAAAGCGTTTATTTTATGTTCTGCGCAAGAAAATCGGTGAATGGTATACTGCAGGCGCTGCGTTAGAGTGCCTCGAGCGTGTAACGGAGGTGAACAAGCGCATATAGGCACGTTATACCCGAGCGCCATCTGGCAGTTATCTTCGAAAACAAAGACGTGCGCGACCACGGAGAAAGATGCGCGCCAGTCACAGAGGTGATAAGGTGTAGAATGTAAAGCTACGGGTAGGTGCCACCACCATGCCGTCGTAGCAAAGCGTTGAAAACACCTTCTTGAGCATCGCGTTGCACTGACAGCGCAGCGCGCTAAACGCTACAGTCCTTAGAGTTACGTGTGCCTCTTCTAGTATAAGGGCAGACATACATAACATAGACGTGTTGTTATGACGTCTCAGATATACGCAATATTTGCTTATTTAATTGACAATCGCACAACTATGAACGCTCAACTTTCAGCAATATTGGTGGGCGCTGCGGATAGGGTTGGTAGTTTGGTGCCGTTTGAGGTATTGTTAAGGCGAACAAACAGACAAATGTACAGACAGAACAATTTTTTTTTGTCGAAAGTCCCCAAGAAAGACTATCGTCTCTAAGAAATCCACTGTACTCTGTAGAACAAGCCCGTGGATCCCCTACGTTGAGCGGCTGCTCCAAGTGGTTTAAATGCCGCGCCGAAGTGCGGCGTGCGCCCTCTGGTGTAAGCAGTATGCGCACGTAAAACTTCGTTTTTCTCTAATTCTGTTTTCTGTGCATTTTTCAACTTCAATGTACCTTTTCTCAAAATTTATTGAATCGATTGCGATGAAACTTTGTATGCGTGAGCTACAAGTCAGAAACAATCTGAACTGAAAAAAATTGCTGATTTAATAAAAAGTGAAGTTGTAAATAACTACACAACAATACGCACCCTCCGTCGCACTGTGCAAGCAGTATTTCTATTTTGCAAAATTTATATAAAAATGTAATTTTTGCTTTAAATCAGATGTAACCTATGGGTCTTTACAAACACACGGCTGAATATGGTTACATTCCTTTCAGTAGTTGCAGAGAAAAGATACATTGAATAAGTGAACTTCCTTTAAAATATGGGAGTGGGCAATAGGAAGGATAAACAACGTAGGCATAAGGAAAGGGGTCACTTTGTACCCAGTGACATTTTTTTTTGTGAGCACGTAAACTTTTATTGTAATACTTGCAACCATTTCCAAGGTATTGCGCTAAAACGGACATATACCATTTAACCTACTTATGCGGACCTAATGTGATACCTGCGTGCTGTCACGCTATGAAAACAAATGTCATTTTTGAATCAGCGCCATGACCTTAGCCATCCTGGGCCGTTGAGTTTCGGAGAAATAAAAATACACTAAAACTTGCATGCAGCATGCGTTTATCTACAAAAATATTTTTTCTGGGTAAAAATATGGCCCTAGAATATAAACGTGGTTTTTTTATACAACAATTGACAGCTGCACGAAACACTCCAAAACCAACATGGCCGAGGATACGCGCGACCTGGCGTAAGTGCAGTCAGCTGAAACGGGGTGCACGACCGACTTCCCGACTGCGAAAATGAGGCAGCTGCGGAGATTTCGTGTAGCCACCACTATGGTCACCACAACTAGTGTAATCGAACAATCAACATCCGCGATACAGGCAACAACGACAGCAGAGCAACAATCAGACATGGTCAGCATCAAGCCACTGTAGTTGAGAGTAGTTTTCTAGAAGCTCTCGCATGCAATTATGTTATCAAATCAGTATAAGTTCGTCTAGTAAATAACAAGATATTTACAAATGATAAAAGTGACGTATACATAAAGGGGAACTCTGGCGTTTTTTCGATATTCACCGATTTCACTCAAACTTTGAACATGTGTTTGCGTTGGTACCGTGGTGATATGTGCCAATTATACAACCAAAAGTCATTTAGTTTTGTAGAAAACAAATTTTAACATTGGTAGCTGATCCTGGAATCACACTTGTAAACGTGGGCCACCCTGTGTATATGACGTCAGGGCGAACGCGAACACAGTTCAGTTTTGTCAGCTCCATGAGCGTGTTAATAGTTGTTGATGTCGGGTCTTACAATATTGAGCAACGAGGAAATCGATTCGGGGCATGTGAGATGCTTCAGGCACCGGAGGGTCGAAATAAAAAATAACAATGCTTCCGCGCTCAGATAGTAGCTGCAATCATCGCTGAACTTGTCACTGGTAAGTTCACAGAAGCGCCACAGCTTGATTCTGCGTCGGATGACATCGCCAACTTGCTTTTCGCACATCAGAAGATTGAGGCACGTGAGCTATGTTTACACTCTGGCTAGTCGTGGCGGGGTGTAGCCAATCTCGTGTCATCATCGGCGACGGATTCTTGTGACATCATCCCATACCCACCATGGACGACAGAGCCGCTGTCTGTTTCGGTTTCTGTTTTGAGTCGTAGTTTTTTTGCTTAATTAAATATATTGATGAGTGCATGGTCAAAGTGAACCACCCTAGCCTTTTCCGGACTGTCATTACAATCAGAAATCAGCATTATCTTAGTATGAATGAAAATGCACCGGAGTTCCTCTATAGGTTGACAGTCATCAGCCTAAAAGTCCCTGGTGTCGAGACTTCTCATTCGGTCTGAAATCAAATGCGAAGATGTTTCGGAAACTCTTTCGACAGGAAATGTCATTTTAATCAAATAGCATTAGTTTCACCGTGTGACAGCAAACAAATGACATTACAAATTAATGACAATATATTTGCCCCATGACAGGGGCATAATGGTCTTCTATAAAATGTCCTCTATAGGACACAGCATGCACCGTATTCACGTATTCAACGCGTTCTTATGAGCCCGTATACGGAGATATGTGGGTCACTTTATAAGGAGTAGACCCTGGGAAGCTCTCTTCGCGAAGGAACTTCGAAAGATCGCTGAAGTGGGCTGCACTCTATGTTATTATGATAAATTCGGCAGGTCGTTTTAGAACGCTCCAGAGCACTCTGGCGGAGCACATCCTGTTCGTCATGCAGGTCAAAATTGAGTGCTTTGAACTAGCTCGTCTTGGTTGCGCCGCGCGCTCCAGCTCAGAGTGCTCCGAGGCGCTTGTGATATGGCAGCGTCATGGAGATTTGATCACGTGACTTACAAAACTCACGTTATGTCAGCCGCGGCTGCATGTGCAGTGTGCCTCCTCGCTTGCATAACGGAGCACGAGGTGACGCGTGCCATCTGGTAGTTTTGGTGTGCAGCTGCATGTTCGGCTCGAGTCGCGCTTTCTCTGGCTCAAATCAAGGGCAGGCTCCGCATCCTCGCTATCCCCATGACCAGAATTTGGGGACGTTAGAGTAAATGTATGTGGTCCCTATGAGCCTATACGGCTACTATAGAGGACATGTATATATAGCGCCATCACTTGCCGGCCACACCAGTTGTCTGCCGTAACTGAATGAAAAAAAAAAAACTGCGAAAAAAATAATATATGACGATACAAGCTATTTATCAAAAACGACTCCCGGTTTTATGCAGCGGAGAATGACTCGAACTCCGTGGCAATGTAACCGGGTCGCACTACAAACCGCCTGGCTTCCAACAGAGGGTGGTGTTCAATTGTCCTGGTAAAGGACACGCGATATTGTAGTTTTACCACAATACACCAGTGGGTTTCTGTTGCACATAATCCGGAGTCGTTCTCGATAACTAGCTTTTTTTTTCAATAGATATGATTTTTCTTACCGATTTCTCATCTTCTCATTCGGTTATGGCCGACCACCATTCCTGCTGCCGAGAGATGGCGCGACGTCTAGATGTTCTCAATTGCTGGGAATGCGTGGTTAGAGCATGATAGTTACCAGCCGAATGTGTGCTTCGACAGTTTTTATGACACTACAAACCAAACCCATGCAAGGCAAACCATGCTACCTGAATGACGAAGAGAACAAATACAGCCGCTGCATGCAAGAAGAGAAGAATAAACACAAAGGAGGAAGAGGACATGGTGTTGTTTACATCTGAATCTATAACTCGACCATCTCTTTCTCAAACGTATGCTCACTAATATGTCACAGAAATAAACGCGTAGCGTGAACAGGTCCAACGCTGTGGGCAGACGTCAGGCATATCCAAAAGTGTCAGAAGAATAAGTTGCTAGTGATATTACTGAGTTCACATCGATGTTAGATAATTTAGGATATCCGTGGCCTCCCCTATATAGCTTGTTTGTTCTGCTGCAATTCACGAGTGAAGGCGGAAGGACCACTGCAGTGTAATAAAAAGAATTTGCGGGATTTTATGCACCACGACCACGATATGATTATGAGGGACGCCATGTTGAAGGGCTCCGAAAATTTCGAGCACTTTGGGCTCTTTGACTGACGTGCATCTAAATTTAAGGCGGCGGTGAAACTCCCTCCATCCTAACAATAGTTCGAAAGACGACACCAGACTACGCCACTCATTCACGCTTGCAAAAAGCGAGAAAATTGCTCGCGCAAATACGGTCAGCGTCGCCTCGCGCGTGTCTTGTATATCGTGCGAGGCGGTGGAAAGCGGCCGATGAAAACCAAAGGGGACAAACGCAGACGGCGTATTTCACCTACTATCCGCCAACTGTGGCCGTCGTTTCAACGACA